TACTGTCCTACCTAATTGGTCATACTGACTTCTGATTTGGGGAACCTTCTGTGGTCAACTAGCACTCTTTTCGACATGCTGACTGCTACGCTAACATGCCTCACATGCGGCCTCTCTGCGAGTGGTTGTGCACTCGTTCAAAGTCAAATTCCTCCAATCTTTTATCTGCTTCCTCTATACAGATAACTTTACTCCTGCCATTTGGCGTCTCCCTTCTACTCTCCGCACATGGATTTGGGCCTGAAGATCGCAGCAGCGAAGGTTTACTTTTTTCACTTAACCCACTGCGAAAAACCTGCCTGTCTGTAAGGTATAGGGGTGAGGAATCAAGCGAACAGCAAAACTGCTCGACTGAAAGTATTGCGGTTCAAGCTTGACGGGTTTCACAACTGTTCCATAACTTTTGGAGCTTGCTGAGGGTGTACGATGGGACAACCAAACTCTTGTGATTGCAACAAAATAGGTCCCATCAACACAGGTTGAAGACAAGACCACTAGCGTCTTTTTGCTGTGCAAACTTTATTCGATAACAGCTAATTTTACAGGAAAAAAGAAACATTTTTTTTACTAAGAAAAGAATCCCTTTGGAAGCTTCCATGCGAAATCGCTCACTGATTAATACTCAGTCGGAGGTACTGTAATGAAAAAAGAAAAAAAAACAAAATTAGGTCTCAAAGTTGGGAAAAAATATTGATGAGAGTCAAAACGGTGTAAATAAGGGAGCGTAGTTGAAGTTTTTTATACTGATCAGCCATAAATCTGCATATTTAGTTGTTCCCCCCGCAAAAATGTGAAGGAGTACTAAACCGTAGAGAAGGAGAACTAAACCGTGGCAAAACAACAGTTAAGCAAAAAAGCAAGTTCACGGTGGTCTTTTAAAACCATAATCGCCTAAAACCCCATATCTGACGTGAATGAATGTGGACAAGAATCTACGAGTAGAAAAACCGCGATTAAAAAAACTTTTGTAAGTATCAAACGGAAGTAACCGTGGGCAAGGTCAACTGTTCCGGTACCGGACGCATGTTCAAATGCCATAGCTTATGCGCACTTAAAAACCGATCGGTTGCTCCAAAGTATAAGACATTTCCATTTTTATTTGACTGCTTGACGCTTTTGACTTTTAAATGACTGCTTGCTGAGCCACCTGAAGAACTAAAACTGAGCCGGCAGCCGATTTTGGGACTTCCATACAAATTGTTCGCTCGAGGGGTCTTTTCAGATGGTACTGTATGCATTGAACGACCTGTCAGACTGCCAACCTGGAATTGTCACCTTAATGAACTTGAGATGTGATCTTAAAATGTATACACATAACACCAACCCAGGCCGTCCACACCTGCAGTTGGATATGGCTGGCTGATGATGATGATGATGGCCAGGCAGCACTTCATTCTTCACTCGTCTTATATTTGACTAAGAAAGATAGGATATCACAGGGCCTAGGTTGCTTACTTAATTCCAGATCAGTAGCAGTTTGCACGTATTGTGGCACCTGTTCGACTTGTCGGATGCGTAGACCGCTCGGCTTCAGTTTACAACTGGTCTGATTTGACCCGGGATTGCCAAAATTTGTGTGCAGTCTTTCAATTTATTTGTGTGCAAATATGTCTATCCTTTGAACGAGACAGTCAAGTTTAGCGAAAAAAGGCCAGCCACCCCAAGTACGAACAATTTATTAAGGCAGCTTTCATGCTAGCACTTGGATAAATTGCGCTTAGAAATGGGCGTACGCGCAGTTGCATCTGGCTGCCAGCAAGTACCCAGAAAAGCATTAAAGCCAACTCGGCTATAGCGAGAATCGACTCCGGCAAGGTCACTCTAAGAAGTACGCCCTCACCCTCCCAGGCTTGTAAGAGTCGTCCGCACACCAAAACGGACTGCTCTGTTAAGTTAGACAGA